TTTGTAAGCTCTAAAAGTAGCAATTGCAAAATGGTAAATGTACTTGAGCTTGTATAGCACTTCCTAGTCTTCTGACTACTCAAAGCACTTTTAAACTGCAGGTCACGCTTACACATTCACACACTGATGTAGAGGTTGCAATGTCAAGTGTCCATCAGTATGAACTAATCCATTCATACAAATTCATATGCTGCTGACGAAGCAGCTGAAGCAATGCTTGTTGTCATGTAGATTGACATTAACATCACTCTAACCTCTTCTGCTGCAGGTATTGTAGAGAAAGAGTCCAGAAGGACCCAGAGAATGCCATCACTCATCACAACCACAGGTATGACATTGTATTTATTCAAGATCCCTTTTACAAACAAGTATTAACAGCAGAAGCAACTTGGGGTTAAGTGTCTTGCCCAAGGACAGATTGGACGTGTGGCTGCAGGAGCTGGGGATCAAACCCTTGACCTCCTGGTTGAGAGACCGACTCTACCACTGAGACACAGCTGTCCCTTTAATCCCTATTGAAGGGTTAAAAATCTACTTTGAATATGTACTTGTAAGAGCTACTACTTCAGACAGACACATTTAAAACTAAATTGTAATGCATTTCGGGTATAATGAATTAAATAGTGTTTAATTTACTGAAGGTGCATTTGGAGAAGACATCAGAAAACATTGATGTCAGGAAAAGGGGTCAGGTTTGAATGGCTGCTCTAACATGCACCCAGCTGTAAAGGTTTTGGTGAAGCATGATTGAAGACTCCGCTGAGGAGACCTCGAAAAAAATGGCAACTGTTGAGTTCACATGGTTCACAGCTAGCCTATTAAAATAACTTCTGTGGTAAATGTCAGCTTGCGCATAAATAACCACAAAGAGCTGCAGCTCAAACTGAGTAAAAGACAAGTGTGGTAGACCACAGCGCTGAGACATGGAGACAGTGTCGGTGAGAACACTCTCATATCTCATATCTCATATCTCATAGCACTTCTGAACGTGAGCTGGAGGTGAGGTGAGGTGCATTTCTTAATAACATAAAGTGTGAAAGTTGTCTTTGGTTTCACAACCTTCAATTCTTAGCTGTGGTTGTCAGTGGCAGTTATAGACCACTTTTACTGAGGGGCCAAACTGGGGCCAGTTGTTTTGTTAGAGGGGAACATTAAACCAAGGTGAAAAATGATAATCGCTTTTTTTATATATATATATATTATGCTAAATAATAGTGCACATCATTAAATACCATAATTTACATTTGTTTCCGTTAATATCACAGTAGATTGTGAGTACGGTTGTTGAGTTAAATACTGTGTATGTGTTATTAGGGGGGCTCTTCCTTTTGGAGGGTGGCCACATGGGGGACCAAGCTCAGTGTCACAGGGGCACTGGCCCCTGTTGGCCCCTGCCCAGAACCGCCCATGGTGGTTGTCTAAGCTGTAGTTCCCATAATGTTTCTCGTATCACCCTCCTAAACTAAGAACATATTTTATTGATGCATTCAAAAGTTTCCATTACCTATGACTGTGTTGTAATTTCTGGTGACTTTGTATTCACATCAATAATCTGAACACAAAACTGTTATTAAATGTGCTAGAAGCATTTGAGTTCTCACAGCGGTTTAAGGGGCCCACACGAAAATAAGGTCACACCATCGCCCTGATTCTATTTAAAGGACACAGTAAAGTAATAACGGTTACTGCTTTTCTCGATGTTGCAATTCAGATCACTTCTGCATCTTTTTTAATATGACCTGCAAACCAGACATGACAATGTGGTTATCATTTCAAATATGCGTTCTATTAATGACAATACCACTGATATGTATATTAATACATGAACCATAATCATGTCATCATGTGATGAGATGAGGGCCAATTTAACTCTGTTGTAGTCAAATCATTGGCAGCACTGCTCCCGTCAAAAGCCAATAAAACAACACGGCTGTGGATCAGTGATCGAGTCGTCTCTCAACCGGACAGTCGGGGTTTGAACCCCAGCTCCTGCGGCCACATGTGGGCAAGGGCAAGACACTTACCCCAAGTTTCTCCCACTGCTTTGTTGCTGCCGTATGCATGTGTATGAATGGGATTAGTCACTTCTGATGATCACTTCACATAACGACCTCTGTCATCAGTGTGTGAATGAATAGATGTGACCTGAGGTGTAAAAAGCGCTTTGAGTAGTCAGAAGACTAGAAAAGTCTACTATTAAAGAAAAAAACAAAGACTCCTTGGAGGAATGGAGAACAAGTGAGGATACTCAAAATCTCGCTGAAAGGCTGAACAAAAATGGTGAGATTAAAAGCTTCAGATATATTTTTAAATCTAGAAAAAGTATACTGACCTGTTAGAAAAAAATAACTGAAAATGTCAAAACAGCAACACATCTCAAAAATGATAAATTACTATACAAATAATACTCACTATCTCTTCTCCACAGTTAGTAAACTATTAAATCCTTATAGGTCAAATTCTGAGGAATTACTCTCTAAGAATAAATGTAATGAGGTCGCTAGTTGCAAACTAAATAAAAAAATAAAATAAAATCTTGAGCTTAAGAACTTACACTTTGAAATCATGTAACAGCAATTCCACCCTATCAGGCTCCTCTCATCAGCCCACATGTGTCCAAGTTAGTACTGTACAGTACCTACCTCTACCTCTCCTCTTGACCCTATTCCCACAAAACTGTGTAAATGTGTCCCTCACAGCCTGTTACATGACTTACATCATGTTGTAAATGATTCTCTTCAGACTGGTTTTCCCCACTTCTCTAAAACCTGCTACAGTTACTCCTTTACTAAAAAAAACAACAAACCTGACCCATCAATCATTACCAACTACAGACCAATCTCCAACCTTCAGTCAAATTCTACAAACAATTACGGTTACCATCCATTCACAGTCTGTATGATCTGTACCAATCAGGTTACAGAGCAAACCGCAGCACTGAAACTGCCACTAGGTGATCAATGACCTGGAAATCAACCGTATTGTATTGTGTTTGTTTTTGTTTCTCTTCTGTCAAGCATATTGAGTTTAATTTTGTATGAATTGTGCTAAACAAATAACATTTTATTGAGTTAATGCATCTAAAAAACTGCATCTTTCCCAATCCTGTTTCTAAGTTTACTTTATTACATCATCCTCCATCTCTGGTAGTTGACTCGTCTCCCCTTAAATCAGTACACCCCTTAAAAAAGGAAAAGTAAAGACAATTAAAATGAGTCTGACAGGAAGAACAATAATCACATTTTTCCAGACATACCAGATGATCACGTTGGTTTCTGTCTTTTCCCAGCGGTCTTTGTACCATATTTACTCTACCATCTATGAGGGTCAGACTGCAGCAGCCAGCTAAGACATGATCTACAGCAAGCTGCAGGCACACTGACATGCTAACAGTTTAAAAGTGTGTTCAAGAAGAGAAGAAGTTGACTGATGTGATGTAGAACCAGAGGTACCCATCATGGACCAGACAGCAGCTGTCATATTTCTGAGGTAACGGTAACGGCCCGAGCCCCGATGGTTGGGGACCCCTGATGTAGAGTAATCCTGAGCTTCTATCATGTCTTCTTCTCAAATCAACCAAGATGTAAAACGAAACCAAAGTTTTCCAATGTTTTTCAGTCAGAATATCAAGTTCAATCCTACTTTTTACACAAGTGTTTGATTGAAGGTGAAGACAATATTTTTGGATATACTTCGTCTCAGTCTTGTTGTTTGCTTACTTCTGCACAAACACTGTATGCTACAGACCCAATGCAAAATATTTGAATCTTTGTATATTTTAAATAAACCTGAATTAATGTGTTGAGGTTTCTTTTCTTTGTTTGCCTTTTTAATTTCATTACTTGGTTCATATCAGACCTTACACAACCTGCAGTTATAGCCCCATAACAGCACACACACACACACACACACACACACACACACACACACACACACACACACACACACACACACACACCTGATACAACAACATGATCTCTTAATACAGCTCATAAATACAGATATCATTTTTTTTCTGTTTTTATTCTTGAAATTTAACAGGATGTATATAAACCAATCATCTAAGAGTAAAACAGCGCTGTCCCCCTCACAAATCTCCACAGTGTTTGTTGTTTAAGCAGGAAGAAGGACCAAGATGCACTTGACGCGCCGACATTTATAAATATTTAATTGCTTCCACCTTGTGACCAAAATCAGCATTACAAGTGTGAACCTGACAGCCCATTTCCACTGGACCTCAGAGGCCTGTACGATGAAGGTTTGTCTAACTGTCTTTGTAGTACAGTGATGTCCTAAACAGAATCATGTCTGTTTTTAACACAGCTCCGTCTGAGGACCTAAAGATCACAGCAACCAGACATTGGATTTTGTCTTCTTTAAGATGCACAGAGCTTTTTAAAAGGCCCAATACTTATATCGTATACATTTTCTCCCTGTCACAGATTTCTCTTTAAATAAGAGATGTTTTTAGGTGGCTGTTAAAAGAAGTTTATTTTGTGTCACTGTGCAGCAGCACGTGTAAAGGTCATGGGTCCAACAGCCAGACAGAAGAAGTATTCAAACAATTACAACTTAATAAAAGTAATAAAGTAAATGTAGTAAAAGTAAATGTGTCTATCCTTTCTAAATCTTTGAAGATTGCTCAGTGATGGACACCTGATGGTTGTTTTCTTTCAGGCTTTATGTTTCTTGAAGTCTCTTTTTATCCACAAGGGGGCAGCAGATGCTTGTTATAGAGATCCAGTGCCATCGTTTGTAGAGAATTTGATCTAATCAGACTATTATCACTAAAGCAGCAGTGTTATCTTGCATTTAGGTAACAACACTTTATTTATATAACACTTTGAAGACGAGAGCATTAAAGGGCTTTCCAGAGATAAGTGGAGAAAAACATCACAATTGGAAAATAAAATCACAAAACATCAAAATGTAAATATACAGTTAAAAGATTATTTTAGTTCAGTTAAAAAATGTACTCCAGGGCTCTTATAAAATAAGCTGTTGGCTAAAAAGGTGAGTCTATAAAACTGTGTCTTAAAACAGGATTTTAAAAGCAGAAACAGAGTCTGCTCCCTGAGTGGGAGTCTGTTTCAGAGCTGAGGAGCCATCACAGCAAAAGCTTGATTAACCTTTGACCTCGACCTTGACTTTGATATGATGAGCAGGTCTCATGTGGCCGATCTAAGAGGACTTCTTGGGGCAGCAAGGCGTTAAAAAAGCCTGCTGGTGTATTCTAGTGCCAGGCCATGTAAAGCCTTTTAGGGAATGAGTTAAATTTAAAAATGAATAAAGAAACAGGTAATCAGTGAAGTGAAGCTTAAACAGAGGTGATGTGTCAGGTTTGCTTTGTCTTTATGAGAAGTCTGGTTGCAGAGATCTGAAGTTTGTTTGTGGCTCGTGTACTGAAGCAGGTAAACAAGTGCATTACAATAATCTAGACATAACGAAATAAAAGCAAAACGACAGATATCACTTTTGTCAGAATTGAATTGGTGGAAGTTTTGTGACATAAAGCGTCTCACATTGATTCATCAGCTTTGTAGCTTTGTTTATAACATTTGGATGGTTTTATAATTGGCTATACATAATTTGATGTCATCAGAATCTTTATGAAATGAAATGTTGTGATGTCATGTGATATGGCATAATGGAAGCATGTATGTTCACATGGTAGTTAGTAATAATGAAAAACTTGAGACACTTCCATGTTTTTTTTCTAACAAGAAAAAAAACTTTGACTGGTGACTTTGTGCAGCGTAGATTCATCTTCATTTAGTGATAAAAAAAAAGAAAAACAGAGGACTGACGTTGATGATTTTATTCTTTTTCTGTTCCATCACCTGCAGCGGATCCCTCTGTCCCGTCTCCATACAAGGTGAAGCTGCTCTTGTTGCTCTACACAGTGCTGACAGTGAAGAGTCTGGTGTACTGCTGTGGACTCTTCCTGCTGACCGTCCTTAGGAACAAGAGTCCGTCCACAAACTGCACACATGCTGGATGACAATGTTTTACTCTATTTTCTATCCCACCATCATCTCATAAAAATATCAATATAGCAATATACATGCGAAGAACATGCGAAGAACTTGTCAGATATCAAATTTTAGGGATAGCCCATACAGCACACAGCTGTGAGACGGCTAACACATTAGCATCGATTCAGAGGAAAATGGCTGCCATGTGAATATAGTGGCTGACTATGTCTTGTTAAAATCAACACTTTTTATAAATATAATTGTTTACAGCCAACGTAACACTTATTATTAATTATAATAAAAAAACTGTGTCTAACTGGAATAACTTTCTGCAGATAAGGCTGTTCTGAAAATGTATCACTAAAGAACTCATTACTAATACCAAATCAACAAATGAAAAACATAGTATATCAAATATGATCAAGATTGAAACTTTAAAACAGTCTGCGGGCCGAACCAGTGAGGCTTTTATACCCAGAATATTAATCTTTAATAAAATGTTTTTAGAAACATTTATTTTTTTGTATTTTTGTGTAAAACAACTGGAACAAAAATAAGAATTTGCAGACCTGAAGGTGCCGACCCCCCTAATGTCTATACGGCCTGAACCTCCCCTTTAAAGCAGGAACAGTTTCTACAAAGGTAGAAGTTGAGGATCCTCTGAGCAGGAACCCATTTCACCCCTACTGCACGTTGAGCCTGATTAGGGATAGCAGCTTCCCCAATCACCTGATCCAACTTACCATAAGTGGTCATCAGTTGACAGCTCTGCATTTCTCTTTACTCAAGTGTCCAAGACAGACTTCAGATCTGGAGTTATGACTGCAGAGTTCATCATCCATCTTTGGCCTGCCACTTTTCTGCCACGTATACTTGTGAAGTATCCCATGGTTCATACTTGTTTTGTCCATTTAATAACAGAAAAAATTCCTGTCATTCCATGACTCAGCATTTTTGACAACATTAGCAGTGATGTCTCCCCATGAAGTCTTAGGTTGGAGCCATCCAGGTAACTCATCTAAGGCATGCAGGGAGGCTGCTTCATTGTAAGTTCTGTCCACTATATGAAGAGATAGGAGTCGGAGCTTATCTCTTGTTAACAGGCAACACTGGAGATGATCCTCACATATGCAAGGGAAAAAATGAGTACACCATGAAGTTAATCTTCATTTGATCTCCGTCAATGGGAAGCTCCCATTTTGTAAAAGTATAAAGACTTGTAGAAGTATGTCGGATAAAAATGTAAAAATGAGTGTGTTGGTTGAAACATGTTCAATTATTCCTTTCATGTCATTTTTCCAGCGTGAATGGAAAATGTTTTATGTTATGTTGTTATTTCTTTGGCTTTTTGAGGTCATCACCGAAGCCTCCAAAAATATATATCCTGCATGAAAGGTTTCATCTCTGTATTAACCTTTACATCACTATGATTCCAGCCTCTGTGTCATGTATCTTATTCTCATCAGGATGTCTTATCTTAAAACAGCCTGTGCAGACTGTTTGCAGGGATTTTATCTGCTTTGTTTGATATATGTCCTCCCAGTTTGACCTTGAGTTTGTACCTCAATGACTTATTTCAAGAAACAGACTTCTATGTGCTGAAGAGCAGTCTGAACATGCTGTTAGAGCGAGCACACAGGCCACAAAGTTTCACAAATATTCTAGTGTATGTAAAGGCAGATGAATCGGTGCTTTGTGGTCGAGTCACAGGGGAATAGTGCCCACTCTGCTGGCTCCTCGCACCGCTTGCTGCTATGTTCTCACACATGGTAAGTGAGCCAGATGTGATACAAGTAGAGTTCATGCCACAAGAAGAGTCATATGCCAGTGACAGATACTCATGAACTGGGATGTTTGATGCATTTGTGTAAAGAAGAGACAAAGGAGCTGCAAAATCACAACTGAGGCTTCAAAATTCATTTTCTCATTAGTCAGCCTTATATGGCCTCACAGTACCCTAGAAATAAAAACGGAAGCCTATTTTCTGCTGTGTCTTCCTGTTAAACAGCAAACCTGCAAAAAGTAAGCAAAATGTGTCATATTTCAGTGGGCTGCTCTCATAACATCCACAAGTTTACCCTCACGTCACTTCTAGTGCTCCCTGCTGTGTGTGGCCTCAGCCATGTTTCCTCCTGTGGTCAGAATCTCCTGGAGACGACAAACGGAGAGCGGATGTTTAGAGGTATGGAAAGCCAATTGAAGATTTAATAGATATCCTTGATATCAAAGCTCAGTTTCCTGTACTAGTCAAGTCTTTGGCCGCACTAGTTTACTAGTAGAACGTTGAAAGACTTACTAGTAAACTAGTAGAAGGCAAAAAGTCCTACATGTTAACTAGTAAGGTGCAAAATATCTACTAGTTAACTAGTAAGATATATTTTGTGTCTACTAGTTAACTAGTGAGCCTAAAAATGTTTACTAGTTAACTAGTAAGAGCCAAAATGTCCACTAGTAAGCTAGAAAGGCATATATATGGACCATACTAGCTAACTAGTTAGGATAAAAAGTTTTTACAAGTTAACTAGTAAGAGCAGAAAGGTCCACTAGTTGTACTAGAGATGGCTTTATTAGTCTTACTAGTTAACTAGTGCGGCTCTAAATGTTCACTAGTTAACTAGTAAGAGAACAAATGTCCACTAGTTGCACTAGTATCATCTTTACAAGTCGTACTAGTTAACTAGTGAGACTTAAATATTTTACTAGTAAACTAGCTAGATCTAAAATGTCACTAGTAACACTTGTTGCACAAAATGGTAACGAGGAGGTGGGGGATAAGTGTGGATTGAGGCTTATGATAGGCTCTAAAAATCAAGAACAAAAATAACATC